CTTCATACAAATGTGCAATCGCCCCCTATTTGACTGCAATACATTTCCTGTTGTACCATTCGAGTTTCATTTTTACTTGAGGAAAGATTGTGCGTGCAAAAAGTATGGTGCTCCAACCTTATTTGTAGTTAGAACTCAAAACTACAGCAAGATACGACAATGTTTTGCTGGATTTTTCGTAATAATAACCGAAAAGGCGATGATTACATAAGAATCACATCCTCGAATCAGATCACGGTGATTTTGGACCCTTTGGACTGTTAGCAAATGGTAGTATCTCGTAAAAACTTGGGGACACCTGGTCAGTCTTTTCCAGGTCTTCGAGTTACTACAGCCTCCATTTTCGTCATTCAAAGCCATTGTCTTAGCGGGAAGTCAAAATGCAAGAAAGGCATATGGTATCTCCCTACCAAGCATTGATTTGATCAGCTGGAGTTTGCTTGAAACCAGACAGCATATACAGCAAAGCCAGTCTGAAGAAGGAATAAGCGTAGGTTTGCACACTTTATTTCAGGCAGGTAGATATCCACAAAATTAATGTCTAGTTTTCGCTGGTTTGGACACCATGAAGATCCTAACTACCACATAGTTATAGCTTTTCGGTTTATATCTGCTGCAGTAAAGAAGTCATATTCACGGATTTTTTTAAATGATTGTGACAAAAAATCAAGAAAGTAGTTAACAATTTACTAATTTGAAGATTTTATCTTTACTATGATGAAAACTATTGCATCAAAGAGATCACAAATCTAACGTTCACAATTAAATGGCTCTATCTTTTCGAGAAAGGATAGCAGACTTTACTGTGCATATAAATTGAAATTCTGTTCAAATCCTCTATGTCTCACTGCCCCAAAATTCGCCCGAATTTCCTTCTAGCCCCTAAAATTTTGGTGGCCTACAATCTGTTTTCCTAATAAGTGTAGATAACTTACCCGTCAGCTTCAACAACCTCGCCTGCCGACACAGGATCAACTGATTTGCGAATGGCAGGACCAGTCCATGTCCACTGCGGAGATGGCTGACCCAACGATCGACATTCTAGTCTTGACGGTTTGTGGGCCAGTCCGTACATCACCTCCCATCCGCCTTCGCCCTCTCTCCTCGCTTCAGTCGAAGTCACACCCTCCCCCGGCGGTGGTCCCGCCTTAGGAGGTGCAAACCACACCGACAGACGTCCCAAAGCGTTTTCGGGTGAGGGAGCATAGGCAATCCAGTTGTCCCCACTTTGAGCCTTGCAGACATAATAATTGTTGTCTTCCGGCCGAAGATCTGGTTTGAAGGTAAAAACTCGTCAGCTCTTGCGCCCATGTCATGCGGCCAACGCTTACCACTTCATGGCACAAAGTTACTTCAGATATTCTATTC